ACAGAACCTCAACATCCTCATCTCTGCTACCTCCATCTCTGCCTCTTGTCTTTTCCTCACTGCTACAGTCTCTAACCCATACAGCATAGCTGCTCTCACTACTGCCTTGTACACCTTTCCTTTGATTCTTGCTGCCACTCTTCTGTCACACAACGCTCCTGACACCTTTCTCCACCCATTCCAATCTGCACTTGCCTCTTCACCTCTTTCCCCCCATCACACTGGATTGTTGACTCCAAATACTTAAACTCCTGCACCTTCTTGACCTCTGCCCCCTCTAACCTCACTGTTCCAATTTTTTTGGCACTTTATAAGTCCAGCATACTTTCAGCTATACAGGCCATTGAGGTCTCAATCTGTTCAACTCTTCAAACTATTCAGCTTTATTTTTTGCAATACAAGTCAATGGGAGCTCAAAGTGATGAGTCAATGACACAATCTTGGAGTGCCATCTAGTGGTTCATAAAATGCAGCGCAATTGGGTCTCTGTCTCTTTATCCCCCCCGCCCACACCCATGTTCACACCTACTTGTTTTACCTATTTATCGGGTCCTATTGGACTATTTTCACATCTTTAATAAGTTCAGCATACTTTCAGCTAGCAAAGCCATTCAGGTATCAAAATGTTCAGCTCTTCAAGGACATTCATGTTTTTATTCAGAATTTTTCTAAACTTCATTCTTTAGAAATATTTATCTTTTTTGATAGTTTTGCCCCATTCAAATGAATGGGGAAATTTTACACCCCAGCATACTTTCAGTTATCATAATGTTCAGCTCTTCAAGGACATTCATGTTTTTATTCAGAATTTTTCTAAACTTCATTCTTTAGAAATATTTATCTTTTTTGATAGTTTTGCCCCATTCAAATGAATGGGGAAATTTTACACCCCAGCATACTTTCAGTTATCATAATGTTCAGCTCTTCAAGGACATTCATGCTTCTTTTAAGAATTTTTCTAAACCATACTTTTATAATATTTAGTTTTATTCTGAAAATTGTGCCCCATTCAAATGAATTCTACACTTGGCATACTTTCAGATATTTCGGATATGAAAATGTTCAGCTCTCCAAGTACATTCATGCCTCTCTTCAGAATTTTTCTAAATCTCATACCTTTGAAATATTTATCTTTATTTTGAAAATTTGCAACTCAGGCCACCCATTGATCAGTGCACCTCGAGATCAAGATCAGGGTGCCGGAGAGACACGCACACACACACGCACAGAGACACACACCTGGTCTAGATCACATATCAGCAAGCAAGCGCAGGCAGGGGTTGACCTACTCACAGCAAATGACCAATAGGATCATGAACTATTGAAGGTTGCACTCCTGTCCAGGGCGGAGCAGCCTAAGAAGATAAATGTGTTGTAAAAACTTAATTCAGGATTCAGAAGCCGGTTTTCCTTTGGGAGCTCTGTCTCTCTGAATCCAGCTCTGTAAGACATACCTGTGATCAGACTTTCAGTCAACTTTTTTGATTTTAAACAGTCCTCTCCTGTCTTCACTTCTCGTGCGTCCAACAAAAGAATTGGGCTAATTTCTAACAGTCCTATTGGACTATTTTCACATCTTATTAAGTTCAGCATACCTTCAGCTAGAAAAGCCATTCAGGTATCAAAATGTTCGGGTCTTCAAGGCCATTCCTACTTTATTGCATCTCATCCTTCAGATTATTCAACAAAGAACTTCAGCCATTTCTTCTCAACTATTTCAACAAAGAACTTCGGCCATTTCTTCTCATCTTTCAGCTGTTTCAGCAATTGATTTCAGGGATTTTCAGGACGATCTTTCAGCTTTTATTAGCATCCACACGCATTTTCGACAGGAAATGCATTTCTCTGGTTTATTATTAGAATTAGGAAAGTCCTGAAGCACTGATTCACACTCCATTCCAATTGGGGGCGGTAATGCACAATTACGTTGTCTGTCAGCCGTCATAAAATATCAGGAAAAAGAAGAAACCCGCCAATTCGGAGGTTTTTATGCATCACGTGACTATTACTCAAGCTGCTGGCAAATTGGGTTTATGTAGTAGTCAGTACTGAGTATGAGGGCAGTTTGCAAACAGCCAATAAGTCTGAGAAAAAGAAGACGAAGAAAGACAGGATAATTTATTCTCTCTTCTATATTCTAATGCCAGGCTGCTGTGGAGTGATGTGACGCAGTTTGTTTGAAGAAACGTCTCTGTCCAATCAGTCAGCTTCAGCCGGAGCTAGGCACAGACAGAAATGTCTGGTTTCAACGCGGAGCTAATTGACTACCTGGAGGGTAGGATAAGTTTCGAGGAGTTTGACAGGAGGAGAGACGAGCGAAGGGCAAAGGTAAATCCAAAGTTATGGTAAGAAAAAAGGGCATCTGGATAGCTTTCTCTAGTGTCTGTTCTAATATCAAAGTGTTTGGGACCGGGGCTAAGCTAGCTACTTGTCAGTCGCAGTATATTTAAACGTAGTTTTATAGACTGCTTTGACTGTATACTGTTGACTTTAAGCTATATTTGATTTTAGTATATTATTTGGCTGTTAAGTCTTCTCTGAAATATGCAATGTTTAACTATACAGTCGCTGTTTTCATATCTCTTTCCTGTCTCAGGAGGCGGAAGTAGTAGCTGAAGATGTGGAGGATGATGCTCAGCCCTCCACCTCGGCACAAATCCCCGGAAAAATCGGTAAATTCAATGTCTGATGGAGACTTTCTGCCTTTCTTTATTAATTATTTGAGGGTGCCATGGGCCTATGAAGAGCGTAGCTGTGGTCTCGGGGAGGGGTTATTGTTAAGTCAGAGGGTCTTAATGTTGATGACTAACACGGCTTTCCTCTCCTGACTGAAGATGGAGTCAGCCCCGGGGTGCAGTTGGCCTTTGCCTCCATACTGGGAGAAACACCAGTAACACTGTCTTCTGAAGAAGAGGAGGATAGCTTGAGCTATGTTGATGATGAAGGTGATGAGGATTACAAGGTGGAGGTGGGAGAGGTGGAGGAGGCAGAGAAGAGGAAACAGCGAGGGGAAAGAAGAATGAGAGGAGTGGGGAGCATGAAGAAAAAGGAGGGGGCAGAGGATGTGACGGCAGGGGACGTGTTTGCACTGGAACTGGAGCTGAACCGAGAAAACAAAAAGATGATGAAGGTAGGTACAGTCAGGGAAAAAATTATTTGAACCCCAGCAGATTTTGTAAGTTTGCCCACTAACAAAGAAATGATCACTCTAAAATTTCAATGGTAGGTTTATGTGAACAGTGAGAGACACAACAATAACAAAAAAATTCAGAAAAATGCATTACAAAAAAAGTTATACATTAATTTGCATTTTCATGAATGAAATAAGTATTTGATCCCTTTGCAAAA